TTAGGCCTTGGGTCTAGGGTTGAGGGTGAGGGTTTCAGGGTGTAGGTTGTGGCAATGGCCAGCACAATGCTAGAGAAAATGCAGCTGCGAAGGTTGAACCTGTACATGACATGGTCCCTGGAGGGTCACATCCAACCCCACCTAGCATACAGTCGCATAACGCAAACCCTAAACCCTAAACCCTAAGCCCTATCGCAAAGAACCTCCAAGCCCTAGATGTAGCATCCTGAGTCTAAAGCAATTAGCCAAACAAGGACAGCCGGTTACAGCAATCATGTGCTAACAGCTAACAGCAGCTCGACATGCTAGAAATCACAAGCCCACTGCACCCCTCACCCAAAATGCGAGCTTTGAATATCATGCAACCCACATCTACGGGAACAGTAGTCCTTATAGAGCAGGTGTCGTGGAGTTCCCTAAGCCCTAAATCCTACACCCTAAATTCTAGAACCCTAAATCCCAGACCCTAAATTAAAAACCCTAAGGCCTAAATCCTAAATCCTATACCCTAAATAATAAACCCTAAATCCTATACCCTAAATCCAAAACCCAAAACCCCAAACCCCAAAGGCACAAGGTAGGCCCCGGGCAGGCCTCGACCGCGACCACAGCGGGAGCTGCATTACCGTAGCTGTAGTCCTGCATTGCGCCTGGCTAGTACGTATTTAGGGTTTAGGGCTTAGCGTTTAGGGCTTAGGGTTGAGGTTTTAAGATTTAGGACTCAGGGTTTAGGGTTTAGGGCTTAGGGTTTAGGGCTCAGGGATAAGTAGGGAATGAGGAAATGGGTTCTAGAGGCCTCCGCACGTCCGTTCTCTCTACGAACCACCTGCTGGCAGCTGGCACTACAACAATGCAGATTTGCTTCGGGGAAAGCGTGAAGTGCTTGCGAAGAATGTGCCTAGACCTCCCGAATACCTACAGTCGTATCCTTCAACCCCCAAATAATTGGTAAATTCTGATCCCTATATAATCCCTTTATAACCCCTATATCGTCCCTATATCATCCCTGTATAGGCTGCTATAGATATTTGGAAGGTCGAGGTAGCTCACCTAAACCCTAAATCCGAAACCCGTCTCACTACTGTCATCTGAAAAGCTGTGTCTCCACTGGGCTCTACAAGGAGAAAGGGCAATGCAGCCGGACCCTGCGAGGAAAGTGTGATATGGGAGTTCCCTAAAATTTGGGGTACCTTTTTGGGGGGTCCCCACAGTAAGGATTATAGTATATTGGGATGTATATTGGGGATTTTGGGAAACTACCATCTAGTTTGGGTCATTCTCCTTCACAGGAACAATCACAACTACCATTCATAGAACCCTTTTAGGGACATTGGCTGTAAGGGGGCATGACCCCAGAAATAACGGAATAAGCAATGCCTACCCACACAGTCTGTCCTAACTCTGTATGAAACCTAAGCAAGACATGGTGTTGAGGCTTGCGGTCCAGAGTGCATGGGCTCTTAACCCTACTTGGATGCCCATGGGACTTAGAAACTACTTCTAATTTGGCTTATTACCTTAATTATAATCCCCCTAAATGGGTTTATAGGAGTTACCCCAATTATAAGTACGGTTATAATCCCAGTTATAAATAGTTACTAAGTCCCATGGGCCCCCAACCCTAAACCCTAAACCCTAAGCCCTACATCCTAAAACCCTAAACCCTAAACCCCTAAACCCCTACACCCTAAACCCGCCAGGCGCAAGTCCACATCCATGAGCATCTCTGGGTCGCTATGCAGTCGACACAGAGCTCTCCAACAACTGGGTTGTTGGGTTTAGGGTTTAGAGTTTAGAGTTTAGAGTTTAGGGTTTAGGGTTTAGGGTTTAGGGTAGGGGGTTAAAATTTAGTGACCAAAGTATGTGTATGTAAAGTAAATAGTCGGGCTGCCGGATTTTTGTACTTGACTTAATTTTCCTTAACACCAGCCCAGACAGAGGACCGAAGATCTTGCACCCCAAACCCTAGGCCTCGGCGATACACTCATACCCTCAGCTGTAACCTGCCCCCAAACTACCATGAAAGCAAAGACTCCTAAACCCTAAACCCTTTGTCTCCCTTTGTCAGAAGTGCTGGCTCTCAGCGCTAGCGGAGAGCAAGCTTCAACTCTCAGTGAAACCTTCAGCAAAAGAACTAGGGCGGAGCGATTGTTCGCCAAGCTCTCTGGTGCCCCTGAATCGCCCGGTTGGGCAGGTGGTGGGCCAAGTAGACCTCGGTGTCCTGCCAAAGTTGGACGTCAAAGCGAAGTGGAACCGCAATCAGTTTCACACAGAGAGTTCTTGAAAGCGCCAATGCCCTCCACCTTTCTTTGCAAATTCCCGAAGGTGGCGCAAAAAGTAGTGCACCCAAACCGCCGTAGAAATCTGCACCAAAGCTCCGTTGCGCAGCGATTGTAAGTCTTGCCACCTGTTGCCACGAAAGATGGGAGGGCGCATGAATCGAAGACAGAAGCTGAAGAAGAGCTGCACCGAGGAAATCCAGCGGACAGGGGCTCCTTCGACATTCAGCATGGTGGACCACTCTGTAATCGCCTGAATGTAGTCCTGCCCATACTTACGTGCCAGAAACCGTGCATCGCCATCCGTCAAGCTACCCAACGCGCCCGTCCAGTCCGGTGTTGGCAGAGGTTGCAGCAACACGTCCGCGCGAGGCACTCGACTACGGGTCGCCAAGTGCCCCACACGCTCGTGGAGGGCAACCACTTCCGTGGCCACGAAAGAGGCCCGCTCCCGTTCCCGGCACAGTGTTGACCAAGTTTGCCAAAAGGCCTCGCCGCGTGAGTGTTGGGCGTTGCTCGCCGCCTTGTCCACGAGATTGTTGTAAAAGGCACACCACTCATCACCTATACTCGCCTCAAGTTCCGGCTCCAAGTGGGACGTCACCTTGCAAACGCAAACCAACCGTGACAAAGTCTCCTTGTGAGGAAGCATGATCTTCCAGAGATCCGAATGCCTGGTGCTCTCGCCCGGGACCCAGGAACCCTCTAGGAACCTCCGAACCCTGCGAACGACCCCTAAACAGTCAGACCAAATCCAGACTTTGCGTTGCACTCTGACACAGAACAGCATGGCAGAAATCATGACGCAGAGCTCCGCCCTAAACGCGGACTGAAGGAGGCCCGGGACCAGGCCATCAGCAAGTGGCAGAGGATCGCCAAAAAATCCAGGAACTGCAATGAGCATTGCCCAAGCGGCCAAACGCAACTGCTGTACACCCGGCTGCCAGCAACTCCCATCAACGAAAACATGATACTCTTGGGGATCCGGAAAAGGGTGAAAGGAATCCAGATCAAGTCGCAAACTGCAGAGTGAGGCACGCACCGCCTCAAGGGAAGAAGGCTTAAGTGCCCAGCCATGAAGGAGTTGAGCCGGGGGGAGCGCTTCCAACTCAGCCCGTGTGAGGTTGCATCCCTGCCGGCAATCCTGGAAGTGTGGACATTCAAGCAAGCGATGACGGATGGAGTCCGCCTGACCACAGACTTGCCGGATTGTTGTGGGGAGCGGGTTTGCTAGGGGAGCTGGTTTTCATGAATTAAAGGCTCAAAACGCACACAGTGCTTGATGATGAAGTTGTAGAGTGCTCCATTGCTTTCGCACCAACCCGGACCAATTCATGAAGTTACCTCCCCAGAATTGTTGTATTTCAATTTGAGAAGGGTTCTTTGTAATGCTTCTTGTTCTTTCGAAAAATAGGCGATCACAAAAAACGTTTTCCAACCAGCAGTGCC